CTTTGTCTAACCAATCTGACCTACTTGTATCTTGATTCATATATTTTAGGACCTATACCCAGAGATATTGGGAATTTGACATCTTTGCGACGTTTGTACCTCTCACAAAATGGATTGAGTGGACCCATCCCTATGCAGCTTGGGAAGTGCTCAAATTTAGAGGAGTTGTCTTTGAGCAACAACTCTTTAAGTGGAAGCATTCCTCTTGAATTAGGCAATCTTAATATGCTTTCAACAATTGATATCAGCAACAATTCCATCAGTGGAAAGATACCCTCCCAACTTGGGAGTTTACAAAACTTAAAGGTCTTAGATCTTAGTTACAATGATTTGTCAGACTTTATTCCAAGTGACTTGCTTCGTTTAAATGATTTAAGTCACTTGTATCTTCATTCAAATAATTTAGAAGGTCATATACCTGGAAATATTGAGCTTATGTTCTCTTTGGAATCTTTATACCTCTCCCACAACAGATTGAGTGGACCCATCCCAACCCACCTTGGAAGTTGCTTGAAGTTAAGGGAGATTTCATTGAGTCACAACTACTTAAGTGGAAGCATCCCTCTTTGGATTGATAATAACAACAGCCTCTCACAAATTGATATCAGCCACAATTTCATTAGTGGAGATATACCTTCCACCCTTGGGGATTTTCCAAACTTGAAGGTCTTGGATCTCAGTTACAATAATCTCTCAGGCCAAATCCCAATTAAATTGCTTGATTTTCCAGAAAGGTCTTTCATAGGAAATAAGGGATTATATGATCACCGTCTTATGAACAAAGGGTTGAGGCCTACTAAAATTATTCCTAGGAACAAAGGGTTGAGGTGTGTGAAAATTATTCTTCCCACCACCATTTCTGTTGTCTTGGTATCTCTGGCTTTGTTGTTGCTTTCAAGAAGAGTACATAGAGGTAAAAGTAGGGAATCATATCCAAGTCCAATGAAAAATGGGGATATATTCTCAATATGGAACTTTGATGGAAGGATTGCATATGAAGACATCATTGAAGCAACTGAGGATTTTGACATCAAATATTGCATTGGCACTGGTGGCTATGGTAGTGTTTATAGAGCACAATTGCCAAGTGGCAAAGTAGTTGCTTTGAAGAAGTTGCATCGAAGGGAAGCAGAGGACCCAACCTTTGATAAGAGTTTCAAGAATGAGGTTAAGATGTTGATAGAAATACGACATAAAAACATTGTGAAGCTTCATGGATTTTGCCTGCATAGGAGATGCATGTTTTTGATCTATGAATACATGGAAAAAGGAAGCTTGTTTTGTGTGCTTAGAAATGATGATGAAGCTATGGAGTTGGATTGGAACATAAGAGTGAATGTCATAAAAAACATAGTGCATGCTTTGTCTTACCTTCACCATGATTGCATCCCACCCATCATTCATCGGGACATATCAAGCAACAACATTCTATTGAACTTGAAACAAGAGGCTTTTGTTGCTGATTTCGGAAATTCTAGGTTTTTGGATCTTGATTCATCCAATTATACCGTACTTGCCGGCACCTATGGTTATATTGCCCCAGGTTTTCTCCATCACCATTCTTCGTCTATTATCTTACTTCATTCTCTAATGTTGAATTGCCATGTTAAAATTGTATTTTTTTTTTTTTTCATTTTAGAGCTCGCCTATACAATTGTTGTGAGTGAGAAGTGTGACGTCTATAGCTTTGGAGTTGTGGCATTAGAAGTATTGATGGGAAGGCATCCTGGGGAACTATTAACATCATTGTCATCATCACCATCTTCTTTGAAAAATGTGATGCTAAGTGACATATTAGACACACGTCTATCGCCTCCAAGAAGTAGAAATCTTATGAAGAATATTTTGGTTGCTACTACACTTGCATTGGCTTGCTTGCGAGCAAAACCCAAGTCTAGGCCAACAATGAAATTTGTGTCTCAACAGTTTGTTACCTGCCAAATACCACTTAGGAAGCCTTTTCCATCTATTTCTCTATTGGAACTTGTGAATAGTGAATTGAAGATGGAAAACGAAATAGAATCTTTACCAAGACTTTCAAGTCATCCGGCCACATATCATGATTCTTCCTTAAACGAAATCCTTGATGTCTAATTTTGAGAATCAAATGGCTACCCTGTTTTGTTGAGGGATTGTCAATAAAAACAACTTGTTCCTCCTTTAGTTAATAAATGGAGTACCTTGCATATAAGTGTAATATATATATTTTACTTGTTATATAATATATATACATTAATGAACCTCTAAGATCCCAAAAATCTTTTGGTCATGTCCTCCACTTAAACCCTCCATATTATTTATTTCTATGGTCGACACCCTCAAATATTTCTCCTCCCATTCAATACTCCGCAATTTTCAAAACCAGTGAAAAACCCAAAATTTAACTGAGAAGTCACGTGACTCACACATCTCTGTTACCTTTTGTTTCTTTTTTGTTTACATGGTGTTATTTTGATGAGATGGCAACAGTTTATTCTTATGTGGCACAAATTTTTTTTTTTGTATGCTTTTCTTTAATGACATGGCTATTGGGTTTCACCCAAAACTAAACAATTTTTTTTTTTATTTCAAGCTTAATTTTTGCAATCAAAGACATTTGACATCAATTTAGTCCAGCTAAATACCAGTAATTTGAAACTAGAGAGACAAGTGCTCAGGAAAAGAACAGCTGGAAGGCTCTAGAAGGCATCATTGAGACTTGATAAGGCTGATCATGGCATGGGCTCAGTGAGCTCCCGAAGCCAATGAGCTAATGTGGACTTTCTACGATGAACCATTGGCATATTGGCTATAATACTGAAGCTCTGTACAAAGAATCCATTTCAGCAAGGTTTTTAAAATCGGATCGGACCGGCCAGTTGAACCGGTCGGACCGGTACTCGGTGATGAAAATGGTTTGGTTTACATGAAAAAACTGTTTGATGTCAAAATCGGTAAAAAACCGATCAAAACCGATCAAAAACGGTCAAAATTGGTCAAAATCAGTCAAAACCGATGAAATCGGTGGAACCGAAAAAACCATCGGTTCAATTTCTCATGCAATCTTCTTTCATTTTTTCCAATTTCACCCTCCCCATTCCTTTCTCATACCCATTTTAACCTTTAATTTTAAAAACGGTCAAAATTGGTCAAAATCAGTCAAAACCGATGAAATCGGTGGAACCGAAAAAACCATCGGTTCAATTTCTCATGCAATCTTCTTTTATTTTTTCCAATTTCACCCTCCTCATTCCTTTCTTATACCCATTTTAACCTTTAATTTTAACAAAATTA